TGATAGGTTTTTAATTTTTTCACAAGCAATAAAAAACCTGTGCCAGGAGTGTCCTGTGATCAGTCAGTTTAGGTCCTGTTCTTGTTGCCTCTGGGATGCACTATTGGCTCACAGACTGGGACTGAAGAGTGGTCTGAGCATTATTTCTCGCTGACAGAGGTTTCCTTGCGACCACACAGGAGGTGGTGATCAGAAGGCTCTCATGCTCTCAGGTCTGATTTCCAGTGCCATCCAGTGCATGGCAGGAGCCACTGCTGCCAGTCTTCTGCCTCTCATACTGGTGCGCAGTCCCCAGCCACAGCTCTGCTAAGGGCAGGAGCTGCCTCAGCTTGGGCTGTCAGAGCTGGATAACATCTCCAAGCTGCTCCCAGAAGCAGCAAAAGCTTCCTCTTTCCCACCTGTTTTCCTACTGAAGTTTGGCACTGTGTGCTGGCAAGAAGACCTGTTATTGAAGCCCCCTTGGTGGGGCAAGTGTTCTGTGTAAGTCGGTGGCCATCCCAGACACTGATTGCTTTTGTCATAAGGCTTGGCAGGTTTAATTTCACACACTCCCAAGGGTTTTTTCATCCCTCACACAGAAATAAAAGTTTTGCAAGTTTCCTACAACTCTAATTGACAATACCGGGTGTGTTTTGCAAAGTGTTTGTGAGTAGGGAAGAGCAGACTGCACCTGGATGCACAAATTCTAGGACACTTTTAAAAGAAGATTATAATATTAGAAAGTTAGGGGTGCAGCTTGTGAGTAGATCAGAAATCTCAGTTCAGGAAGTTTGGACAAGCACTCCAGGATAGCCTGACCATGGTGGGGACAGAAGCTGTGGCCAAGTGGGAATCTGTTTGAAGGCAACAGGAAGGTCATCCAGAGGTGTTATAGGAAAATAGCCTGTAAAGCATTCAGTGAAAGTAGGGACATAAAATGGCTGTGTCCCACCCACCCACTGCCAGTCTAAGCAGAATGCATAATTTAAGTGCCCGGGACTGGTCCACACTGGAGGTGGAGACAGTTCCATGTCCTTGTACAGGATGCAGCTTCTCTCCAGGAAGGCATGAAGGCAGTAGGTTGTGCAAACACTTTCCCACAGAAAGCCCTGAGAAGTGCACTTGCTAATCCTTTCTCAGAGATGGGCATCACCTCTTCACCACATACAGAATCTCAGCTTTATGGTTAGGTGACACAGGATGGGAGGGGGCTTAGGGGATAAGCCTGGAATAGACGTGAATTAGGACACCTGCTTGAAAAGAGGTGAATGACAATTACGAATATTCCAAGAAGAAACAAAATATTTCCTTGTTATTTCTTCACACTCCTTTATCCCTTTCTTTCCCATCTGTCAGTCTGGAAAATTCTGACCATCAGTTTAGGGAGCTGGAGCCTTGAAGCTTTCTCTATGTAATCATGATCTGGAATGGCTTAATATTAACCAAAAGAGCTGTGAAGAACAAAAATGCTTATTAGCTTATTAACACTGTTTATATTGCCAGATGCTGACAGACAAGCAAATTATATACTGTCTGCATTTTTTCAGTTAAAGAAATTCAAGGAGAGCCATTTCAACAGGTGGAGGTACACAAGTTGTTACAATGGAAACATCTCCAAAACAGCTGAAGTCCTGGATAGCTTCATTTCAGGTTTGAGAGTCTTTCCAGGTATATTTCTGCAGATATCACATACTAGAAAAACAAGGTATAAATCAGGGTTTTGAATTCACAACAGACTGGTAAGGTGATAAAATCAGTCAGTAGCTCTAAACACAAAATTTGAAGATTGTCATTATTTTAAAAAAAGTTTATTCAATGGAATAAAAATATAACTTTTAAACTCCCAGAGCTTCAATCAAGAAGCATTTGGACCAAGATTCTGATTTTAACAGAAAAATAAAAATGAAACCACATATTGGAAGAGAAATTGCATTCTCTGAAATAGAGGCAAACACCTTCTTAAAAATTTATTTAATCAGAACCCCATTTTCAATTGAAAAACAATTGCAAGACCTTGTGGTCTGGTCATAGTTGTTGATCCTGTCCTTAGGTACCATGAGTCACCTTATAACATGTTTAGATACCACTAGAAACTTTCTGAAGAACAGTATCAGTAATATATATATTAGTGCAAAGCAGTAATTTTGTTTCAAAAAGTTTGGAAATAGAAAACTAACCTGAAAATTTAGATGCCAGATTTTTTTCTCCAGTCATGACAAAATGACGTATTCTGTAACTTTCTGCTCTCCAGTCTGCAGAGACTATTTGAAGGAGAAGGACATATATATTCCAATTTCCCCCTCTGTCTATGTTTCACTGACATTCTGGTCTTCAATTTGTGAAGAACTGCAGCCAAAGGAAAGGACCCATGGAATACTGTCTCCTGTGGGAGGGACACATGCTGGAGCAGAGGAGGAGTGTGAGGAGTCCTCACCCTGAGGAGGAAGGAGCAGTGTAGACAGTATGTGATGAACTGTGCACAGTCCCATTCCCCATCCCCTGTGACCCTGGGGGGAGGAGTGAGATAAAATTGGGAGTAAAGTGAAGTCCAGGAAAAAGTTTACAGTCCTACCTGCTATTCTTTCTCAGTAACAGCTTCTAATTTTGCATCCCAGGAGTTTTACATATATGAGCTTAGTGACATTGCTCTGCCTGGCCACCATGGCTCTTCTGTGCAGGGCACATGGGCATATTGACCTAAAAAACTGTTTCATGGGCAGAGGAATTTTGCAGGGGAGAAAGTTGAGGGCAGTGAAAGCATTGGATTGTTAGTTATTCTCACAATGCCAGACACTCAAAACAGCGGCAAGAGTCCCCCAGAATTTGCAGCTGCTTTTCCTCTAAAGCACCACACATTTTAAATATGACAATATAGTAATTCTGACAGGGAAAAAAACCTGCAAATATTAAGCAAGAACTACTTGGTCCTGAAATGTGGCACTAGAGAAAGGATGAGACATCTGGTCCCAGGTTTCAATAAAATTTCTCTAGCAAATTCCAGCAGGGTCTAACAGAGGTTTGTCTCTTTCTGCATACATGGAGCACATTTATGCTCTGCAGAACATCACTAGAAGAAAACCATGCAAGAATATTTTATTAAGTGGAACTTGAGGACCACCACAGAGGGCAAAGGAGTGCTCTTGAGCCAGGCCAGCATGCTCTGGAGGAGCTTTCAGCAGGGATTAGCATAGTCTGTCTCCTGGCTGAGCAGCCTTTCACACACCCAGCACCTGCTGAATCCCTCCAGGCTCCCAGCACTTTGACTTCAGCTATGCCCTTGCAAGGGGAAAGGGACAGTGCCTCAGAGGGGCAGTCTCCCTGAACAAGATCATGGGAACACTTGAGAAAACAAAAAGGATTTGTGTGAGATTCAGTTGCCAGAATGTAGGTGCTGTATGGCTACTTTGGGATACCCTTTGTGGTCTCTAATTGCAGCTTTGCAACAGGAATGTCTCCCAATGAACCCATGCTATTTTTAGTAGGTACCTTGGCTATCTCACACAACTGAAGGACCCTTAGAGTTAAGATTAAGGCAACTAAGTGAATTCACTACTGTATCTGAAATACTTTGGTTGCTACCATGTCCTGTTCTTATAAACAAGATATTTATACATCATTTCAACCTACAGTTGTTTGTCCTTCTTGCAGCCCAGTAAAAAGCATTCAAATTAAACATGAGTCCCTTGAAAACATCCAGGCTGCCCACAGCAACCAGACTGCCATGGGATGGTAATGCCAAGGTTTGTTTTAAATCAATGTGACAGAAATGGTGATTCATAAAATAGCTGCTCCTCAGTGCAAGTAGGTCTGTAAATCATTCTATGAATGTTTTCCAGTGCTGGAAATGCCAGCATCAGGTTTTAATATCTTAATAATTTATTATTTATATTACAGTGAAGGCTTACAGTGCCTTGCTACTCCTAGCACTGTACAAGCCCAAAGGTTCAGTATTGTAAATGGGGCAAATTTTGTGGGAGAGACAATGTCTTTAATTAGCCCAGTGGAAAGCCTGAAAAGAAATGAGCAGGTTTTCCTGAACACAGGTGCTTCCCCACACTTCTCTACCAGGTTTCAAATGGCTTTGGGTGTCCCCAAGCTCTGCTGGTTTTCCCAGTCACGTTACCTAAGTGCTCCTTTGGCACTTAAGTATGGACCCAAGTCCACTCATGAGCTGCATCTTGCCTCAGACCCAATCTCTGTGTCAGGCACAAATTTGAATTAAGATGTGGGGTAAAGCAAGGAGAAAATTCAGACTCCTGCCATGCCTCAGCATGGGCTTAGAAGTATTTACGCCTGAAACATAGACAAGCCTCAAGAGCACCAAGGGCTGATGGTGTCACTCAGTGCCTGAATTTGGCGAGCACATCCAGGAGCAGGGGGTGGGATGCACTCTGCTAGCCACAGTTCACACCAGGCTCCAGGTTTTGCTTTATCCAATGCTCCACCTGCCACAGTAGATGCATCTGGAGGAACTTAACTGTACAGAGCAGTACTGACCTCCCCTCCCAATAAGATGCTTTCTTCCTTCCATAGCCATCTGGATGACACTTCAGCAATGTTATCCTGTAAATCCAGAAGCATCATTATTATCATTATTTCACAATCATTATCACTGCCCTGGCAGCCTTCACTGAAGTAGGTATTAGCTGTTTTGCTACTTGGCAGTAAATTTTTAAGTGGTAGACATTATGGCTGGTAGCATTATGTATCTGTTGCATTTAACTTTCTTGCCTACTTCCTTAAAATGCTTTATTATATCAAATAGCAATCAACATTCCTCAGGGGTGAAGGTAGCTACGTGACATGTTTACTGAGGCAGCCAGCTGTCGCCACTTGGCAAGCAACTTTTATCATAAGCTGGTTGAATTTAACATATATCAGCATTTATCAGCCCCGACTTTGTCAGTTTTATAAACGAAAACCGAGAAACAATAAATCATTTGGTGGCCAGGTGATACTGCATACATAACAGAGCATATTTACCAGGCCGGGTGGATTCAACCAACAAAAGGCACCTAAGGTGCATTTATTTGATCTGTATCGAATATAGCCTCAGATGCCTTTTTTTGGCACACAACCCACATCTGAAAGCTTTGGTGAAACATGTGCTGGATGGTCCCATTTGTTTTCTTCTAGGCTGGCTGCTTCAGCCTTCACTCCTGCTCAATAGTATGTCAACATTTCCACTGACTTCTGCTGAAGTGCTTTTGACTGAGCATCCATAACATTATGTTAATGTCTTCTCACTTGTGGGGGATGGAGCACTGGGATGGGAGAAGAAACACACTGAGGTGGGATAAGCCTCCATTCTTAAACATAAATGATTGTGCTATTACTTTGCAATTATGCTTTATCCCAGTCTCAACAGATGTCCTGTGAATCTTCCAGGGTTAACCAGTACTTGTAAGTGACATCTATACCAGCAAATCAAACAGGTCAAAATTTGCTATCTAACCCTAGGGGATGAGTGGCAAACTGCTGCTCACATCCATATAACTAAATCCTTTCCCCCTCAAGTGTTGGTGGTTCATCCATAGCACCTACAGGGAACAGTTCTGTGTTGCTCCTGAACCATGTCCAGGATAGCTGCCATGGGATTAAAACCTGACAGGGATTGTGCTGCAACTTTAAACACTGCACGTGACTGCAGGACAAGGGTCACACCCTGCATTTGGAATAATTTAGATCACATATTACTGCCCTTGCCTTGGACAGGATGGAAGAGTGGGTTTACTGTCAGTGATTTAACACAGCCTGGAAAATGAGCCTGATCAAGTGTATGGCAGCATGGGAAGTCCTCTACAGCATTGTCTTCATTGCATCCACACACTGTAAGGTTAATGAAAACTCAACTTCAGAGATGCTTACACTTTTACGTCAAGGTGGAAATCGAAATATTTGAGGTTTGGAAATAAATTGTCATCCATGACAGTATGTTCTGCATCAGTAAGAGTACAGTAATTAAGACCTATAATAGAAAAGGGCCAGGGAGTGGTATCTGGTAAAAGTTAAATGGCACCAAATATCTCATTACCTACCCTGCAGTGTTCTAACCTTTCCCTTTGTGGGGAGTTGAGGAAAGGTCCATTTGTAGCAGCAAGAAACAGCAAGGCAACACCTAAGTAGTGCGACCAAGTAGGGGTTCAGACTTTCCCTCACCTATATTTGGTAATTTATATCATGTTGCTGAGGGAAGATTTACAAGCCCCCCCCCCCTCCATTTTCCCACCCTGAGCTCTTTGCTAAGACAGTGTCAGTCTTTTTACTTGACAGCAGTGACAAAAACTCTTGCACTAATGTGCCTGGAGCCACCCACTTTGCAGCATGAGTACAGGCTGGTTCTCTCAAGAGCTGGGAGACCTTCCATGCTCTTTCCACAGTCCATCCCAGAAGGAGAAAAATGTTTCACAGATGGTCCTGTTAATTGTGCTAGTCTCAGAGTGGCCCAGTGCAAAGAGCAGTGATCTCTGCTCTCACAAGGGCACCTGAGCCTGTGGGAAAAAAAAAAAAAAAAAAAAAAAAAAAAAGAGGGCATAGAAATGTTGTGAGCTGTGTAATGAGCTCTTGCATCAGGTAGGATGAACATGAGCATCTAAACCTGTGCCGAGACCTGTGGGTCAATTGCAATATAAAAATGCCATGGCCAAGGTACAGAGTAAAATATCCGACTTCTTTCTGGTTAACATACAAATTACTTACAATTTCCATATGTTTTGCTTCCCTCAACATATTTGTAGCAGATCTTTAATGTCAAACTTTTCCAAAGCCTGTCTATGTAAGATGAACCAATCAATGTTTTTTAATTAAATAGTCTTTAGAAATCTTAATATTACACCACTTTTAAGCCTTTTTTACAACTGTCTTCTCCTAATTCTCTTGTTCAAAGCAGAATTTAAAACTTCCAAGGTTGTCTGCTTTCAAATCTTCCATCCTTGGATAGACCTAGGACATTTTTAATGAAAAGTAGCAGCTTATTGCTTGTTCTCACTACAGCAACATGAAAATCCATTGGGAGATGGCAACCCAGGAAGACCTCTGCTCCTAGAAACTTCCCAGCACATTTGCTGGCAAAATATGATCTCGAAATTCAGTACCAGTCCTACCTGTCTCCCAGACTGCAGCATCAAAAAATTTGAGTTGTGGAATGAACAAAGAACAGGAGTTATCTTTTCATGTCACAAATACATCATGAATGCAGTAAAAAACAAGAGACAAGGATGAAGCTTGTGAACACGATGCAGAGTTCAAATAGCCTGAAACTGCATACACTTGTAAGCCGTGGGATGAGCTATTTGCTGCATGCAGAGCTTACAGTTCTGCAAGGATGGGATTGAACTCAGGAGCTGTACCCTGTGTCGGTGTAAACCTGGCTACAGCACCACAATGGTTTTGGCAAAGGCTTTTGTTTCTCAGCAAAGTCTAAAAATCAGCTTGAAGCTTCTGCAGCAATGAAGAACAGCCCAGATGACACAGTTGCATCATTAATTCTCTTTTCTTTCTTCCCTGCTTTTCAGCTGAAAACAGCCAAGCCTTTTAGTTCTCTCTCCCAGTTTCCCTGCCACCAGAGGAACAGCACAGGCATGCTCAGGACTGCAGAGGGATATATTTCTGCTCCTTTCCTGCTTCTCTACTTGGAAGCACAATCCTAGGACATGCTCCTGACAGAGCTGCTAATTTCTAAGAACCTTCTAAGCTATGCAACAGGAAACCTTTAAAGGACTAACTCCCTACAACCCTCTTTGCAAGTGAGCTATAACAATGACAATTGCGTACACATGGCATTGCACACCATATAATTCCAAATTCTCTAACAATGGTAAGTGATGCTCTGAAGTCTCTGGACATTGCAAGATGTTACCTGAGCTTGCAGGTTTTCATCTACATCTCCACTACAGCTCTGTTTGTCAAAGCTGGTAAGTCTGCTTGTATTTGCTCCATCCTGGAAGCTCATACATCTTAACACTGTAAAAATTGCTTAAAACTTTCCTTTAACCTGAAAAATCTGTCCCATCGCTGGCATGTAAATTCCCACCGCCATATACAGTGATCATGCTTCTATGATTCTTTGAATCAGGGCTGATGTGACTGACCAAAAGACCTCTCAGAAAAATATATTTAAAGACACATGAGACTGTTGGCTCTTCATTCCATGTGACCACTGGACGCAAATTCAGCTATAACTCCCAGCATTGCCAATGAGGCTGTGATACAGCAGGCTAAAATGGCTGTCCCCTAAGTGGGGTGTGTGCAACGTGATCCATTGGGGTGTAGGGAGGAAACATGGTTTTGACACCATTAATAAATTACCTAAACAAACCCCCAAAACCACTAACAACAAAAAGCCCAATATGCTATTTTGGGTCTGCCCCAAACACTGTTGTAAGCTGTCAAATTCCAGTCACATTCAGACTAATTAAATAAGGAAGCAACAACCCCTTTAACACAACCTAAATTTAAACATTTCATAGAGCATGTATCAACATTTCATTTCTAGATATGTTTGTCTGGATATTGGCCTAATTTCTTTAAATGAGTGCTAGCTAATAGGCTAAACAACTTTGAAATTACTTTATTAAATTATAAAGTTGCAGCATATTCGTTTGATAAATTATAAAGTAGCAGCATATTCGTTTGATTATGATTTTGACACTTCTTTTAAAGAAATGTTGTCCTACCTTTTCCAGGCTTATTTTGTACAAGTTGCTGTAGAAAAAAAAGTACATTTTTTGTTCATTCTACTGAAAGACAATTGTAGCCAGTGTTAAACTTGTATAAAAATCTTACACATCATCTTGAAGTTGTTTTATCTTTGAAAACTTAATGTCAGATTAATATTGATAATCTATCTAACTTGAATCACCAGCTCTTTATGGGCATTCAGGTGTGTGGTTTCCTTATCCAGAGTCATTATGTGTGTTTGCATATGCCCCTGTTCACACCTTTCTTACTCCAGGATTAATCATCCCAGCTTCCATTGTCGCCTAACATCCTTCCACACTTTGCCAGTAGTTTACAAGTCTATAACAGAGCTTTAGATAGCTCTTTAATGTTTTTTCTATAGAGCTTGTATTAGATCATGTACCCAGCCCCGAATTCTCCTGGGTTTCAGGATAACTCAGGTGGTGGTTGAGCAGCTGTTAGCAATGCTCAGCTGCAACATCGTGCCTTGCTCTAGAAGTACTCTTATTTAGGGCTGCCTTTATAGTCACACTTAACTCAGATTTCAGTGAGATTTAAAGAGGAGTGCTTAACATGCTTCAGTGCTCCAGAAACTTTTCTTGTGTGCACTGAAAAAATCAGGAGTTACTGATCCTAACAGGCTGCCAGCTCACTGCCCCACAGTTCCTGGTATTTCCAGATCCTCTGTTAGGTTAATGCAGGGCCAAACTGCAAAATTTAAGAGAAAACTGAACAGAGCAGCCTGTCACAGAGGCTTTCACGAGCCCAAGAGAGGCGCTGCTGTTCTTTCCAGTCCTACTGAGCTGTCTCTCTGACAGTTGACCCTTAACTCTCCCCTGGATGTTTCTGCCCTACCACAAGAAGCTTGCCTTCTGTATTAGTCCAGGCTCTCAGGTGTAACACATGCTCCTAGTAAAGAAGCACATGGATCTGAAGGAATGTGACAGTTTTGAACCATTATGTGCAAAAAGCATTATTAGCACCAGCTTCTTCATACCTAAAACCCAAGCACAAATCTTACCACCCTGACATGGAGCAACATGCAGGACAAACTCTTCTGCTCCTCTTCAGAATGAAGAACGCCTCTTTTAAAAATCACTGTACTTTATCTTGGAGGACTGTGCGGAAGGAGAAAGATCCGATCTTTACAAGTTCTTATAACTTGCCCCCAGCAGCTGATGGGACCGCTCAGCTGGCAGAGAACAGATTCCCGGCGCCTCGGGCCCACGCAGGGCTGATACAAGACAGACCCTGGGCGTTGTGGGCTATCCCAAAAGGCGGCGGGCTCGTTGTGCAGAGCGCGTCTCACGCCGCTCGGGGCTCTGCCAAGGGCAGGTCAGCG